GGGCGAGAGTATCGCCGGAAAAAACCATCACTATCAATTGTGGCCCTTAGATAAAAATCCTCAGAGTTCAGTGCATTTGAAGAAACATTGGCGATTACCTGATCGTTTGAGTTTGTGAGATAAAGAACACCAGAGCGATCGAACACCAAACGAACTGGTGATGATGCTCCATCTGTTTTGGTCTCATAATATGCAGGATTAGGACTTATAAACTTCCGATCTTTCGGGTAGAGCACAAGATTTCCATCATTTTGCATGACTAACATGAATCTACCAGTTCTATAATCTCCCTCCAATCGATTGGAATACAAGTATTTTTCTTGGCCAAAGGTTTGGCCTGGTAATAAAGTATCAGTGGGGTTCTCAAAACTTTGCCATAAAATAGAGGATACAGAGTCTACCAATATGAAATTACCAGTATCAAGCACGGCTCCTGAGCTCACACCAGTCGTTTGATTGTATATCCAAGTTTCCAGGCCCTTTGAATCTGTGAAGCCTAGCCTCCCATCAAGTGTCAACTGAATGGTGGAGCCAGATTGCACAGGTTGATCTCTATTTGCTGACCAAACCAGGGTTCTCTCTGATATCTTATGGAACCAAATTCCAACGAGGAATTGGTTGCCTTCTATCGAATAAAACCCAAATGCAAAATCACCGGAAGGAGAGGTCCGATATGAGTTATTTGCAGAGGAAGAGGAAAGGGTGGTCCCTCGCGTGATGTTCGTGTTCGATTGTGCAAATGCATGATGAAGCGAAAGAAGAGGAAGATAGAGAAAGAAGATGAGCGTGAGAAGGGGCGCAGGCGCCATATTAGAGTGAGCGGAAAGGCACTTAGAATGGTTTGTTTGAGTGTGTATCGAACATTTACCAATTGTTCAAGCTGGTACAACATTAATGGACCAAGAGCTCGTGGCCACAAGTTTATTGACTTGGAATTCCCCAGTCAACGTAGACTCAGGGAAAAAAGTGGGAGAGAGAGAAAGAGAAACCAGTTTTAGGAACCGACCCACTGGACCCAAACTCGGCCTGGAAACCCGCAACTGGCCACTGGTCCTGGTCGGTTTTAGCTTGTCAGCGTGGTCAAGGTTAAGAGCTTAAAAATAAAATGTAAAAACTCCAAAAATATAACAAATTTGTTTGTAATTAATTTTTTAATGTTTTCTCTTGTTTTGAAAAAGATTGAGAAGTATTTTGTCTGTAAATACTTATTTTTACATTTTTTTTTTTTTTGGAGATTATTTCTAAAATACTTCGAAACACAAATTGAATTTTCAAAATCCATTTTAAATTTCTTTTTTAATCTTATTTGGATGGCTTTTGTTTAGTTATGCTATAAACATATTTGGATGCATTTTGTTTTTTAACATTTTAAACATACTTTCTGGAATTTTTAAGTTTTTTTTTTAACCCTTCTTAGTCCAGCCTGAATATGCCCGGTTTGGGCTGGACCTGCCTGGTTTGGGCCAGTTACCAAAATAAAGAATGGTCTCTCAAAATTTGGTGTCAAAATAGTTTGTAAAAATAATTAAAAATAAAATACTATAGAGACATGACATTGTGATTGAGTTCATCTCAAATGTTCGTAAACTATAAGCTCGAAATGTACGGTTGGATATAGAAAAACGGATAAGTTTTATGCTGTATCGGAATCATAGAAAGCTTCCCTTCTTGTTTACCTTGGTCAATCACACTACTTTTCTCAAGACCCGGTACATTTCATGTCTGCCAAAAACGAGTAATGTATTATGAGAGCAATTACCGCATGACTTTTACTCTTCAGCAAAGGAATGCCCGTCTTAAACGCAAATAATGATGGTGACCAGATCGGGTGGCGTGGATCAGTTACAATTGTTGATTTAGAGTATTAAAAAAAATTTAAAATAAAAAAATTTAAAATTAAGTTTTATGAAAGAATTTAAGGGACAATATGAAAGAATTTAAGGGACAATTAAAAAATATTAGATAAGATTTTGTTTAAAAAAGAGTAATTTACTTACAAACTCTAAAATTTTAGGTAAAATAGAAAATAATTTTTTTATAGGTGGAAATTATAAAGAATACCAGTCAACTTTCTCTTTTTTTTTGTTTTTTTGTTTTTCTAAAATTACCTCTAGGTCGAATTTTGATTTATTTAATTTTTTTATTTTTACTTTTTTGTTCGTAGGGCATTACCCCAAGCTTTAAGGCACCACTTTACAAATGAATAAACTAAAAAAATAAAAATAAAAATAAAATCAAAATTCGGGTTGATCGGGGATTTTAGAAAACATAATGTAATTTCCACTTATGAATGAAGCATTTCGTAATTTACCTAAAATATTAGGTTCCATATGTAAATCACTAAAAAAAAAAAAAAAGAGGCTGTTTTAGGGTGTGGCAAGCCGGAGCTCTTAGTTTCTCAATTCCCGATCTAAAATCTATAATTCGGGATCCAGATTGTCCGGTTTTGAAACCCTCACTGGTCCATTATTGGAAAGCCTCCATACGATTTATGGTAAAGCACCGGTTTACCATTCTCCGTTGTTCGAATTTCTTGGGCTCAATTGTGGCCCTTTGATAGAAATCCTCAGGTGAGTTTAGTTGCAATTGAAGAAACATTTGCGATTACCATATCGCTTGAGTTTGTGAGATAAAAAGCGTTTGAGTGATCGAACACCAAATGAACCGGGGATGATGCTCCATCTGTTTTGGTCTCATAATATGCAGGATTAGGATTTATAAATTTTCGTAGAACACAAGCTTGCCGTCAGTTTGCATGACTAACATGAATCTACCAGTTCTATAATCTCCCTCCAAGCGAAGCGATTTGGATACAAATATTTTTCTTGGCCAAATGTTTGGCCTGTTAATAAGGTAGAGGGCACAGAGTTTACCAGTATCATGCATGGCTCCTGAGGTTACACCATTGGTTTCATTGCATATCCAAGTTTGCAGGCCCTTTGAATCTGTAAAACCTAGCCTCCCATCAAGTGTCAATTGAACGGTGGAGCCTGATTGCACAGGTTGTGTCATGGAACCAAATTCCAACTAGGAATTGGTTGCCACGGATTGAATAAAACCCAAATGCAAGATCACCAGAAGGAGAGGGCCAATATGAGTTATTTGAAGAAGAGGAAAGGTCAGTCCCTAGAGGTGATGTTCGTGTTTGATTGAGCAAATGGCAGAGGAAGAGAGCCCATATTGTATTATTTTTATGTGTCCGATTTTTTCACTCCATTTTGTGAGCCAAATCCAAAATATTCATGATTCTATTACTTACTTTATATATTAACGATTCATTTTTTTTACCTATATTTTCCTTCAATTTTTTGAAATAAAACCAATTTCTTACCAATGTTTTGGTTTGCCGATATATTATTGTCGTTCCCTTACTGTCTATGAAGCAGACCAATGTAGCCATGCAACCCTCGAAAATGAGATATGAGCATGCTCTTGCGGGAGATTAATTCCCTTGATAAAATAGATATTTTGGAGGATTTCTTCTATTTGAATTTCTGGGATCCAACTAATGATTATTTTCAAGCAACAAAAAAAAGAAAAAGAAAAAGTGAATTTTAAGTTCCACCCCTAGATCTAACCCTTTGCAAATTGGATATTCCTTGTGTTGTGTTCCGGAACTCTCTCGTAAGCATCCTTTGTGGCCTATTCCGGGTCTGAAAATCAACTGCCCCCTGCGCACCTCTTGAAAATGTGCTTTCCTTTCCTTTACTTTTCCTTGACCCTACCCTTTATCGCCCTCCATTCTTATTCATCTTTGTTTGCCACCAAAAAAGACCACCATCTATGGCTCCGTTTCATCCTAAGATCAACGCTGTAGTCATGGTCTCCTATCTCCTCTTTTTTCTCTCTCATTTTTATGTTCAATCCCATGGAAATATTGGTCCCATATGATACAAGAAAAAACTAACTTGGAATTTGTGTTTGTTTGTCGATTACTGCTCTCCTATGTTAAAAAAATCACCTCGGCCAAGGTTGTCACACCCCAAGAATTTACAATACTGATAGTCCTGAGATGTGACAGTCAAAACATATATACATCTCTTGATAGGACAAATTTACAGTGGTGAGTTCTTACAAAGTAACAAAAGAAAGCTTAGGCACAACTACAATATCTTCCAAGGTTGATCCTGATGAGCACTCAAAATAAAACCGCAATTATCCTGAAAAAATGTTTACTATAGTTTGATGAGTTTGGCTACTCAGTAAGTGATCATCATAATCCTAAAAATAATCAAGATTGAAAGGTATCAATATTTTCAAAAAGGAGATCTATTAACAGAAATGCATGAACAGTTTCACTTTCAATAAATGCATAATTAAGTATAATCCGAATAAGTGAAATACATATAAAACTTTAACGACAATGCATAATTCAAAGGATTTCACAAAATACCCTACTAGCGTCCCAAGTAGGTCACCTATATACCCCATCAGTGTCTTGATGGATCCACTTAATCCCTATTGGCGTCTCAGATAGGTCCACTTAATCCCTACAGGTCCACTTATACCTCACCGGCGTACCGGATGAGTCCACTTAATCCATACCTGCGTCCCGGATAGGTCCACTTATACCTCACCGGCAACCCGGATGAGTCCACTTGCATACTTAAATTATTTCTAAATCTCTTTAAACATTCGAAAGCAGCAATATCATGTACTCAACTTATCACTAAAATCATTAATATGAATTTCACTGAAACCATTAATAACAGTCACTTTCAATAACATTTCAAAAATAACCAATCAAATATTTTAGGCTCAAATTTAGAAAGGTAGCATAATTGCCAATTTAA